ATTGAGGGTAAGATTTTCGTGCTTTTGGGTTATGGTCACTTCATGATGTTTTGTTGAGGAGTTTTGTTAGGGATTTCGAGTGGTTTGGTCTAAATCTTGGGCTAGGTCGTTGTTTTAGAATAGGGTTTCGGTCAAGTTTAAGTGTAAGGGTGAGTTTTGTACCATTTTAGGGTCCTAATCGAAGCTTTATGCGGTGGAGAGAAGATTGTTCAAAGGGTTTTTCATTTCTGTTGGGTTGGAGTGTGGGAACTTGAAAAGAATATTAGGGGTAGAGAGAAAACGGCGTGGGGAGGGGAAGTATCTGTTTGGGCTAAGAAAGAAATGAAATTAGGTTAAGAATTCTAACCTAGTATCCATATATTAGCACACCCAAAACGGTGTAGTTTCATGAGGGTGTCAAACGGTGGCGTATTGATATCTTGGGGAAGATGAGCCGTGTGGTAAATAGGGTTTAACCAGTTGAGAGGTCCAGTATGTTTCAACCCATTCTATTTTGGTCCTTGAACGAATCTTTTGTGCGTTCTTAATTTGGTTCTCTTTGTTTATGCGCGTTCCATTTCAGTCCTCGGCTTATGTTATTTTTCATTTTCGTTTGTTTTCTTGTTTAGCTCGTGATTTTAGACACTTTGTAATTTAATCCCATAGCAGGCTTGATTAGTACTTTAATCTATTGGTATTTTGGTTAAAATTTTAATATTTTTCTATTTTCGTCCTTTATGGCAATATTTAAATTTAAGCTTGAGTTAATGGTAGTATGCCTTTATTTTTATGAATGAATTTTTATTGTATGTATTCATGTATTACGTGAGTGTTCTCTAATTTAAGTAGTTATTTTCCTAAAATGAGACAAATATTATTTTAAATGGTTAATTAATGTAGAGATACTTTTGCATGTAATATGAATAGGATGAATTAATAATCTTAAAATATTACAAAATCCACTAATTCCCTTTGAAAATATGAAAATCTTATGATCGTTTAGACATAGGTTTCTCTTTAACATCTTTTTTGCATATTATGTATAATATCCTCATATGCATAACTCGACATGATTACATAATTTAACTAAGGGTAATGTCCTTTTAATTTAAAATTGTTTAAGTGGGTTGTCTTAACTGATTAGATATCCTCTTTTGACGATTTTAAATTAAAAGTATATCCCATCAGTGACACCTAAGAAATTGATTTACCACTTTTAAAATTTGGAATGGAAGAAAAAGAAATATTCGGGTACTTAAATTTATCGAGAAAAGTTAGTTAGAACTTATCTAAGATCTGGTCTCGATATTTGTAAATAATCGAATATTCTTTATCTTTCTAAAGGCCTGGTAATTTTAATTTATCTATTTTGGTGCTTTTGAATGCTGTAAAATTCATGTGTTGTTTTGTCGGTGATCATAAACCAAATTAAAATCGAATTTGTAAGTTTCATTACAAAGATATTAATTAATCGACGAGGTACCGATTTAGGGCATTGTGGGGGGTGCTAATCCTTCCCCACGCGTAACCGACTCCCGAACTCATTTTCTGGTAACGCAAACCAAAATTTGTTGTTTTAATTAAAATTAATTTTTATTTAAAATGACAAAACATTTTTGGGTGTCCAATCACACCCTAATCAAAGATTGGTGGCAACTCTTCTAACCTGTGTTTTTATCGTGAATGAATACCAAAGTTTTCGAAACGAGAGGTTTTCTAAAATCGCATTGTTTTTAATTAAAAACCAATTGTAAAAATGGATAATTAAAAATGACGTGGTTTCCAAAATCTCGCTCCCCGCCGTTTTAAAAATCGTTTCGACACCAGTAAAGAAGCAATTTGGTTGAAGATGTTTTGGAAGAGCTTGGGCACAATCAAGAGTATGTCTCTCTGTTTTGTGACAGTCAAAGCGCCTTGCATCTAGCAAGGAATCCTTCATTTCATTCAAGGACAAAGCACATACGAGTTCAATACCACTTCATTCGTGAAAAAGGTGGAAGAAGGGACGATAGATATGCAGAAGATCCATACCAAAGATAACATAGCAGATTTCATGACGAAGGCAATCAATGCTGATAAATTTACATGGTGTCGATCCTCCTGTGGCCTGTCAGAGACGTAAGCAACATGAAGGTACAAGGTAGAAAGAATGGTGTGAAGATATGATTGTTCCAATCAAATCTTTAAGTGGGAGATTGTTGAAAAGTCAAGGAAAACGGTGCATTAATGCACCGAATTCATTCAATGCAAATTGTCAAAAGTTTCAACTAATTTGTTGGAAAAAATGGTAAAAGCTTAAATTAGTCATTGTAATTTAGGGTATTTACAAATTAGTCCTTAAGACTTCGACTATAAATACCCTAACTCATTTAGCTTCAAAACCATCCCAAAGTATTCTAGCTTTCTTCCAATACTAGAGAGAATTTAGAGAGTTTCTTGAGAGTTGTTTTCTCCTTTTTATCAAGAGAGAATTATCATTGTTTTCTCCTTGGTCAATTGAGAGGAGTTGTAATTCCTATTTTCCCATAGTGAAATTCTTCTACCGTTGCCTGTGGTTTTTACCCTATATTATTCAGGGGTTTTCCACGTAAATTTTGTCTCTTTTAACTTCATATTTATTTTCTCAAATTATCAGTTGCGATTTTGCTCTATCCGATAGCCGTCTTTCGCAACAAGAAGTACTAATTGCTTCCAAGTTGAAATAATTGGAAAAACTGAATTTTTAGTCGATGGTGATCTCTTTTTTCTTCTTCTTCTTGCTTCTCTGCTCTTTCAAGAACAACTATGGCTTCCGACCCGAAACCGCAACCATTGAAACCATGGATCTTCTTCATACTCACAGTCTTCGAACCACTTCTCTGTTGCCATCAACTGTTTGCAAATCCACTCCCAAAGGTTCAATTTTTATCTCCCATAGCTTTGATATATATATATGCAGAGACAGACACATAATTTTATATTGAGTACAAACTTTTAAAATTTAAAGAGTAAAAACATATTATTAATTTATGTTCATCTATTACAGGTATGAAGGAAAGATCATCAATACAAGCATGGTCCATGCTCGGGACTGAGCCAAGACAAAGCAAATCTTGTTCCCTCTCATGCCGAAGTTCTTCACCAAGACCAACCCCGAGCTGATTCAATCCATTAATGGCCTCCTCAAATTCCTTGGAGAAGACATTACTTCAAGACAAACCCGGAATCTCGATCGGCACCGGGAAATACCAAGTCGGCATAGGCTTTGGTGGGTCGAATACAAAGCTTTCCTTGGTTTTCGACACTGCTAGCCAATTAACATGGACTCAATGCCAGCCATGCTCTGGATATTGCTATGATCAAAAGGAACCAATAGTCAATCCATTTAAGCCTTCATCTTATGCCAGCGTTCGGTGCCCGTCGACGACCTGCAATCAAATTTCTTCTAATTTTTCGATTTTCTCTAACCATGTAAGATATATATTTCTTCATATTATTTTCACATTACAATGTTATTTAATATATCACGTGCAATCTAAAATTATAAAATATATTTCAAAATATTATATTTCAAATAAGGTGTTTTTGAGAACAAAAGATTAATGAGAGTATAAAGGAGTCAAAGAATTGATGTGAAGAAAGAATTTGTAAACAATTGTAATCAAAAGACTAAATTGAGTAAAATGAATAGTTAATGGACTAAATTAAAAAGAGAGAGTATATTTTTATTAAAAAAAATAAGAATTGAAGTTACGTAGGTATTCTATAATGGTAGGGGAGTATGTGATTTAAATTTGATTAAAAAAACGTACTTAAAATGAAGGGTGAATTGAAGAAATATGAAAATCATGCAAAATTGAAGGACTAAATTGAAAATTAGAAAATTTGTTATCAAAAGTGGAATTGAAAGTATATTATGTATTCTATAATGGTTTATGAGCATATGATTCAAATTTGGTAAAATTTTGACTTAAAATGAAGGGGGAATTGAAGGAATAGGAAATCAGGAACCAAATTACAAATATGTCAAAATACTCATCAAAATTTTTGATTTTTAGAGTTATTCACAAATTTGAAATTTCAACTCGAATCAAATTCAAAAACTGGATTGATAATTCAAATCGACTTGAATAACTCGAAATTGAAAAAAATATTTTTTCGAGTCGACTCGAGTTTTGGTCAGCCTAATTTGCACTAGTCTTGAATCGAACAACAATGACGTCATGGTGGAGATGAGTTAAGCTAAGGATTAACTTGCGGAACTTGTCGTGAGTTAAGTCGGAAGGGATGTTGAAGTGGTAAGCGGTGGGCTTAAAGTCGAGCATTGAAAAGGAATATTCGACTATGGAAGAAAAAGAGGAGAGAGAAAGAAAAGAGAGAGGAGAGGAAGAAAATAACATGTCATGTCAGCTGACGACAATGATCGCAATGAAAGTGAATTAAAAGTTCAAAAATCGTATTGTAAGTTCTTAAAGGTTCAATGATCAAAATGCAGGCATCCTAAAAGTTCGGTGACTACTTTATAATAAAAGCATGATTTTTTGGTTCAATCGTGTATAACAACAGTCCAGACGCGCAGTCTTGTCAGAGGTGACAAAATTTCAATTACTTGTTGGAAAAGGAGGTCATTCTTTTGATTTTGTATTTCCAATATGGAGTTTACTTTTCAACTTAATAAAAGAAGAAAAATTCTTCTCACCTTGATGTTTCGCATGTTGAGGTTACTTGTTTGAAACGGTGGCCATTCTTTTGAATTCATGTTTCAAATCTTGGCACGAATCCAACGAACTCGGTGGTAAAAGAATTGTTATTATTCATTGAGATCCCGAGTTTAAATACTATAAATGTTAGGGATACGAGCGTTGAATGTCAAATAGTTGAGAGTTATATTTAAAAATATATTATTTTGTATTTACCCCGTATTAATAAAAAAATATTTCAAATCTTGCATATCAGCCTTTCCTTTTGGGGCCCCAAGTATTTAAAGACTTTGAAATAACGATAGAGAAGCATTAAACTCAGCTGTTGTTTTCTCTCTTTATGATCACACCCAACCTTATGGCAAAAACTCCTTCCTCCCTTCTCTTATGTTTCTGCTGCTATTTGCAACCTTGAGGGCTACTTTGTCTGCCAACATCACCACCGATGAATCCGCTCTTTTAGCCTTAAAATCCCATATAACTCATGATCCAGACAACCTCCTCGCAACCAATTGGTCCACTTCTATCTCTGTGTGCAATTGGATTGGTGTCACCTGTGGATCCAGACACCATAGAGTCATCGTTCTGAATTTGCCAAGTATGGATCTCAAAGGCACCATCCCATCTCTATTGGGAAATTTGTCTTTCCTTGCTTGGCTCGATATTAGCCACAATAGTTTCCATGGCTCTTTACCCATCGAGTTAGCCAATTTGCTAGGCTGGAATATTTAAACTTTGGTAGCAACAACTTTGAAGGAAACATCCCATCATGGTTTGGTTACTTCACTAAGCTTCGAAGCTTGTTTCTGTATGGCAACAACTTCACTGGTGTTCTCCCATCTGCTCTGGGAAATTTATCAAAAACTAGAAGAACTCGTCTTGTTTGATAATGATTCAAAGGACAGATTCCTCTAACATTTGGGAATCTTTCAAACTTGAAATGGATGGAATAGATAACAATTCTCTTTCAGGTATCATACTTTTCTGATCTTGAATTTTATTTTTTTCATTAGTGAAACATTGGTTTATAACTAACATCCCCGTCTAGGCCATCTGCAATCGGGAAATTTGATAACCTTTCGAAATTGCAAGAACTCAACTTGAGTGGGAATCGGATTTCTGGTAGAATTCCAACTGATTTATTCAAGTGCAAAGAGTTGATGTATTTGTCATTGTATAACAACTCTTTGAATGGAATTATACCTATAGAAATCGGAAATTTGACTATACTACACTCTTGTCTTGGTTACAACAACCTCACAGGTAAACAGTTCCTTGTTTTAATTTCTTTGTTTTTTTTTTCCATTTTTAAGTATTGAAGCATGACTTTAAACAATATAGTCAGGGATGGATGTATGAGGTTAGGTGATGAAAATAGATTATCAATAAGAAATACAAATAAAATATCTTAAAAATATGAGAAATATTTGAAAATTTCACAGGGACGACCGCCCTGTCAACCCCACTCGGTCCATCTCTAGTATAGCCAATTGATCTTATTTATTGCAGGGTCCATTCCTTCCTCAATCTTCAACATTTCTGCATTGCAAGAAATTGTATTGGGAAACAACAATCTCTTTGGTCATCTCTCATCCAAACATTGATTACCTTCCTCGGTTACTTCATCTTAATTTGGTTGGAATTCAACTTTCTGGAAAAATTCCATCAAGTTTATTCAAATGCAAAAGTTTAGAACACTTGGAGTTGTACGACAATCATTTGGAGGCAGAGACTGTACCTTTAGAAATCACAAATTTAACTTCACTTGTGTATTTCTCCATCCCGAAGACCAACATCTCCGGTACGTGAAGTGATGATCATAGAACACCGTTTTTCTTATATTGGTGTAGTTTATTGACACAATATATTAGCAAATTTGACGAGTTCAATTATATGTATCAGGTGAAATTCCATCGTTTATTGGAAATATGACTTCTCTCGAATACATTGATCTTTCTTATAACAACTTAAGGGGTATAATCTCGTATTTTCTCTTAGAACAAATAAATATATAAATACATAGAGGCGCCTAATCCTGAAGAAAGAAATGAAGAGTTTGCTAGAAATATATTTGCAAATTGTGATAGGTTTAATTATATATTTCAGGTGAAATTTCTTCGAATATCGGAAACTTGCCTTTCCTCCGAGATTTTTTTGTTTTAGAAAATAAATTATCAGGTATGATTTCATTTACTTTTCTCTTTTTTATTGCTACAATACATTCACTTTTTTATAATTGTCATAATGTCAAAAATTGCATCTAATGTTTGATTAATGTCACTTTAGCCCCTATCTTTTTGGAGTATTTGGTGGCCAAATGCTCCAAACAAAAAGAATAAGAGTCAAAGTGACTATTTAATCAAACATTAAGGGTCTTTTTGTCTTAAAATGAAACTTTGGTGGCCAAAATGCTCCAAACAAAGAGAATAAGGGCCAAAGTGACTTTAATAAAAAAATAGGGTGTTTTTAACTAAACTACATATATACCATCAAACTTTAGCATTGTATCGTTTATACTACTGAACTTTTAATTTTACCAATTATAGCAATGAACTTTGATTTTTGTTTCAATTGCCACTGGGCCATTAAATCGTTAACAGTCGGATCAAAATGACGTCATTTTGGTGAGGTGTCTACGTCGAACTGTCAGTCACGTCGGCAGCTGTTAGCGGCGTTATTGTGCCGTTAACGATTTAACGGTTCAGGTTTAATTGAAACGAAAATCAAAGTTCAGTGGTATAAATGGAAAAATTAAAGTTCAGTTGTATAAACGATACAATGCCTAAAGTTCGATGGTATCTGATGTAGTTAACCTTTTTTTATATATGCCTGTATAATACCTTTCAAATATATGCATATATATATGCCTATAATTCATCTACTTCTTGTTTGTTGCAAAGAATGTTGGAAGTACTAATTCTAACTCTATTCCAAAATTTCTCCAAGGGCAAATTCCAAATCTTCAACCTTCATTGCAAGGGTATGGTGTTGCAGATAATTACTTAGTTGGAGAAATCCCTTACTCAATTTGCAATCTGAGTTCCCCTGATTCTCTCTATTTATCGGAAAATAGATTGGATGGAAAAATCCCAGAGTGCCTTGGGAACTTGACTTCTTCTCTTTCACTCGTTGAGCTTCAAAACAATAATTTTCATGGTGAAATACCAAAAAGTTTTGCTCAAGGTTGCACGTTACAAAGTTTTCGGATCAACAACAACCAAATAGAAGGGTCACTACCACAGTCTTTGAGTAATTGCAAAGAGTTGAAGGTTCTTGATGTTGGGAACAACTATTTAAATGATTCTTTCCCATACTGGTTAGTAAATTTGGATAAGCTGCAAGTTCTTATCTTAAGATCGAACCGATTTTACGGTCGAGTTGATAACTCAGATGTTGCAGTTTCCTTCGGTCGTTGCGTGTCATCGATCTTCTTATAATAACTTCAGTGGTTATTTACCTGCAAAATTTTTGAAAAATTTACACGCCATTAGAGAAGGGAACGAAAAGAAAGCTGAACCTGAGTACCTGAACTACTCATTGGATGATGGATCGATCTACTATGTGCACGAATTATATTTTACTTCAAAGGGTTTGGAAAGAGAGTTTCACTCACTAGTGACCAATTGGATGGCAATAGACTTTTCAAATAATCGATTCTTCGGAGAAATTCCTGAAACACTTGGAGAGCTTCATTCACTTATTGTCCTAAACCTCTCTCATAAACTGTTTAACAGGTCCTATCCCATCTTCATTAGGTGACCTCTCAGAACTCGAATCATTAGATCTTTCATCAAACAAGCTGCATGGAAGAATTCCACCAGAGTTGAAAAATCTTGGATTTTTAGCAGTGTTGAACCTTTCTCGAAATGATCTTGTTGGACCTATTCCTCAAGGAAAACAATTTGATACTTTCACTAATGATTCCTACTTGGGGAACTGGGGTTTATGCGGGTTACCACTATCAAAAAGCTGTGATAATGACGAGGAATCTCCGACAACAATCGATCCAGAAGATGATGGTGATGATGGTGAATTGAATTGGAAATTTTCTATATTGATGGGTTATGGAAGTGGATTGGTGTTTGGACTGAGCATGGGATACATCGTATTCACGACCGGAAAACCACGGTGGCTCGTTAAGATCATAGAGAGAGTTCAGCAAAGATTTATAAAATGGTACACAAGACTCTTGGCTGAATCTTTTGCAAAACAAGCTGTTTTTATATCTTTACTCCCAGCTGGGAACCTTAAAAAGATTGAACTCCCTGGATTTATCGAACGATGCTTACCGGTGAGAGTCTGGAGAGTTTCTCTGAGCTTAAACTTGACTCTGCTCAATCTTTTAGAAACAAACTTCAGGGACAGATTCGTGAGTTATTGGTGAGTTGCCCGAGTTGGAGGTATTACAGTTTCACTGTGAGTATTCCTCAATCTAATCTGTTTTCATCTATGAACATTTGCAGTATTTCTATGTCATGAATAAATTACGCGCCTTCAGTGACACAAGTACTTCTAATCAATTGGAATCCATGATTAGTCATTAGTTTATTTAATTTTTTTCTCGACAAATATGATTTTATTGAGAATTTAACTATATAATCTCAAAACTTAAGTTGTATGACTCTTTAAAACCTCCCTCTACCTAGGAAAAGAGTACAACACAACTGTGTAAAAACTACATCTCAAAGACCCACTACTAACATACACCAACTAAATGATTGATTAGAAAGAAATCAACATAGCAAAGTCACACTCAACCTACACTAAAGAAGACCACCTATATTCAAACAGTTTTTTTAATATAATAATAAATTTAATCCTTAATATTTATGTTTTTTACTGTTTAATTTTAACTCTTGTTTTAAATTAAATTTATCCTAAAATATTAAAAATTAGTGTTACATTTAATTATCAAATTTTTTCGCAACGTTAAAAATGAAAATCCATATATATTTTAATATTCGACATGACATGCTCTATTCTTGTTACATGCCACTACGATATAATGTCCTACATAATTTTAAACAAAAATATAACAATTTAAACAAATACTTGAGTTTAGACCCAAAAGTTGTTATTTGATCACAATTGTTCTTGCAAAGTTCAATGGCATGGTTGGACATTCTATGTTACTGCCAATTACGGTATTTGTGGGGTCACTTGCTGGATTTTAAGCAAGAGGTTGCTGGAAATCTTTGGATTCGTTTAGGAAATTTCTGTTTGCACTGAAAACCATGCTTTGAATTCTTATATGTTGTAGTTTATGGAATGCTTGGAGTTGCTTGAGGCAATGGATCATCCTTATATGTGTCCTCACTTTGCATGGTGTAACCATTTAAATTTGTTGACAGGAATAAGTTTGTCTCATCGGCTGTTGTTGGTTTATTTTTTTAGTTTGAACGAAAAGTCGTGGCTAGTGATGTGATAGCCGTGTTTTTTTCATGAGAGATGAAAGTATAAAGAGAAAATAAAAGTCTATATAGAAAAGATGGTGGGGAGAATCCTCTCTCACTCGTAGTTAAGGACTATTTATAGTAGCTCTAACTGGTTGCATTATGAATTCACTACTGCTTATAGGTCAACAGACTAAATAGATATAATAGTGAAATCTTGAATTTCACTTTTATAGATCACATGAAACTGTTAAAGGTATTGTCTATGAATTGTACCTGACTCGGAGGTTATGATACTATTGTATCCGAAAAACATGGATTATTTGGAAGCTCGAGTGATCGGAAGAGTCTAACTAGAGACCTTAGCTGACGGAGAGCTAGCAGTTTTCGAGTACTATCTCTAGAGATATAGCAAAATTCTTTAATTTTCTGGATCAAAACAAGGATTTCTTAAAGATTGTTGGGGACTCTTGGAAGTGTATATGAATCAACCTCCAGAGTATGAGGTTGGTGACGAAGGGGTGGTTGTTTGCAAATTGAGGAAGGCGACTTATGGTTTGAAGCAAGTTTTGAGGGCGTGGTTTGAAAAACTCTAGGGTTTGTTGACTGAAGGGTTTGTGTTGTCGAAGTTAGATGCTTCGTTGTTTTTTCAGGAAGAATGGTAATAGTTGTTGGTTTTTGGCAAATATCCCACATTGGTTTTGTATAAGGAGGATGGGAAATTCTTTTGTTATAAATAGAGCCCTCCTCCTCCTTAGTTTAGCATCCCACAAATATAAGCCTTCTTCTATATTAAAGGCTATTTGTATTCTTTCTCTCTTTGTAATATTTCCTCTATTAGTGAAATATTTTGGTGTTCTCTTTTATGTTTATTTAATAGCTATTCGGGTATAGTTGTTGTTAATTATTGTCCTATTAAAATTACTTGTCTTGGTAGTTCTGTCTAAGGAAAGTGGGTTTTAAGAGGGACCATTGTGACCCCTCCTCTTTCCTGGGAATATACATTGGGGTGATTTTTAGTACAATCGTTTTCACACTAGTCACTTAGATAATAGTTTCGAAGGTGAATCTGTTATTGGTAGAAATTAACCCGAATTCCACAACAATTGGTATCAGAGCAGTTCAAAGTTCAGAACATAAAAAGTGGGGGATCGCCATGAATGAAGAAATGTAATCCCTTCAAAAGAATCAGACGTGGAAACTAGCTAGTCTTCCGAAGGGAAAGAAGGCAATTGGGTGCAAGTGGGTATATGCAAAGAAAGATGGATTTCCTGACAAGAATAACATCCGCTACAAAGCAAGATTGGTGGCTAAAGGCTACGCTCAAACGGAGGGAGTTGATTATAATGAAGTATTTTCTCCAGTTGTAAAACATTCCTCCATCAGAATTTTGTTGGCTTTGGTAGCGCAGTTGGATTTGGAACTAGTTCAGATGGATGTAAAAACTGCATTTTTACATGGAGACTCGGATGAGGAAATCTACATGACTCAGCTAGATGGATTCAAAGTTGCTGAAAAAGAAGAGATGGTGTGCAAATTAGAAAAATCATTTTACGGATTGAAGCAATCTCCAAGGCAGTGGTACAAGCGATTTGACAAGTTTATGATAGGGCAGAAGTACACAAGAAGCAAATATGATCATTGTGTGTATTTACGCGAGCTAGAAGATGGATCCTATATATATCTTCTTCTTTATGTTGATGATATGTTGATAGCTTCCAGGAGTCAGACAGAAATTGCGAAAATAAAGACTAAATTGAACAGGGAGTTTGAGATGAAGGATCTTGGTGAAGCAAAGAAGATTCTAGGCATGGAGATATCAAGAGATAAGAAATTGGGGAGGCTTTGTTTATCTCAGAAAGAATATATGAGGAAGGTACTAAAACGTTTTGGCATGAATGAGAAGTCAAAACCAGTTAGTACACCTCTTGCTCCTCATTTCAAGCTCGGTGCATCCATGTCACCTAAGGATGATGCAGAACGAGAATACATGTCAAAGGTTCCGTATGCAAGTGCTGTTGGTAGCTTAATGTATGCAATGGTGTGTACGAGACTCGATATTTCACAGGCAGTTAGGGTTGTGAGCAGGTATATGCATGATCCTAGAAAGGAGCATTGGGAAGCTGTGAAATGGATTCTGCGGTATATTCTGAACACCGTAGATGTTGGTTTGGTCTTTCAGCAGGACAAACAAGATAGTCAATGTGTAGTTAGGTATTGTGATTCAGACTATGCAGGTGATTTGGACAAGCGTCGATCAACTACTGGTTATGTTTTTACATTTACAAAAGCACCAGTCAGTTGGAAGTCCACCTTACAGTCAACAGTGGCTTTGTCTACTACAGAGGCAGAGTATATGGCAGTTACAGAGGCTGTGAAGGAGGCAATTTGGCTTCAAGGGTTGTTTGGTGAATTGGGAATGGAACAAAAGCACATCAAAGTGCATTGTGACAGTCAAAGTGCTATTCATTTAGCAAAGAACCAAGTTTACCATGCAAGGACGAAGCACATCGATGTTCGATATCACTTTGTATGAGAGATTCTAAAAGAAGGTGGAGTCATAATCCAGAAGATTCGGACCACTGAGAATCCTGCTGATATGTTGACAAAAGTGGTAACTGCGGTCAAGTTTAAACATTGTTTAGACTTGGTCAATATTGTTACAAATTGAAAGATGAATTTGCAGACACTACTGAAGATTTGATTTTTTGTGAGACGTGTGTGGAATTTGCCAAGGTGGAGATTTGTTGGTTTTTGGCAAATATCCCACATTGGTTTGTATAAGGAGGAGGGGAAATTCTTTTGTTATAAATAGAGCTCTCCTCCTCCTTAGTTTAGCATCCCACAAATATAAGCATTCTTCTATATTAAAGGCTATTTGTATTCTTTATCTCTTTGTAATATTTCCTCTATTAGTGAAATATTTTGGTGTTCTCTTTTATATCTATTTAATAGCTATTGTCGGGTATAATTGTTGTTAATTATTGTCCTATTAAATTACTTGTCTTGGTAGTTCTCTAAGGAAAGTGGGTTTTAAGAGGGACCATTGTGACCCCTCCTCTTTCCTGGGAATATACCTTGGGGTGATTTTTAGTACAATCGTTTTCACACTAGTCACCTAGATAATAGTTTCGAAAGTGAATCTGTTATTGGTGGAAATTAACCCGAATTCCACAACAATAGTTTGGTTTACCTTCTGGTTTATGTTGTTGACATCCTTATCACAAGAAGTGATCATTATGATGTTCAACGAATTGTGTCTGATCTTGATAAGGTGTTTTCTTTAAAAGATCTTGGCAAGCTGAATTATTTTTTGGGTGTGCAGGTTACCTATGACCAGGATAGTCTGTTCTTAAATCAAAGAAAATACATTGAAGATATTCTTTCTCGATGTTGTCTAGACAAAGCAAAGAGCTTGCCTACTCCTATGGTCTCGAACTGTAAACTACCCTTCATAACGGTACACCTATTCTTAATCCCACTAAATATCGAAACATTGAGGGTGCCCTGCAATATGTTATCATTACAAGGCCAGATATTGCGTTTGCAGTTAATCGAGTTTGTCAGTTTATGGACTGAGGAGTACGGACGGGGTAGTGGTTTTTCCTAAAACTTTCAAATTAGTATATATTTTAGATAGTTACTTTTTATTTTTAATTGATAATATGTTTTCGCCAGTCCACCCTAAAATTTTATAAATTCATCCCTACTAAAATTTTAGAAATTTGTCCCCTAACATAAGATTCTATGTCCATCCCTA